ATTCTGAATAAAATATTTTTGGTGTTTCCGTGGCAACAAGTTTGACTTAGCCTGAAATTGGTGGTAGTGCACTTTTCCGGGAGCAGAACTCTAAAACCATTCAATGTTTCTTCACCAAACTTGGCACATACATAGATCTGGTGGTGTACTGGTGCCTTTTGGTAGTTTTGTATTTCTGAATAAAATATTTTTGGCGTTTCAATGGCAACAAGTTGGACTTAGACTGAAATTGGTGATAGTGCTCCTTTCTGGAGCAGAACTTTAAAAACCTTTCAATACTCTCCTTGAACTTTTCTATATACACACCTAAATATTTGACATAATCATAACTCATAGACATAATCATGAAGAGTATTTTGCCATTGCGGGGGATATTGATGACTTTGTCTTCTTGTTGATCCCCTATGGATTGCCCAGTCCTCTGAGCCCGGGAGACTCCAAGATTGATGATCCCTGCACAATCCACAATCTCTCTGATGATTGTGTTGTCCATTCAGTCTATTTTATGTTGTCTGTGTGAAACATCGGTGAAACCCACAGGCCCCTCAACACCAGACTCAAAGAACACCAAGCATCCATCAACACATTCGACCTCAAATCTGCTGTTTCTGAACACATCAACAAGAACCAGGACCACGTCATCATATGGAAGCAACCAAAGACGTATCTCTCAACAACAACAACTGGCAGCAAGGTAACTGCAAGAGGCTATAGACATCAGAGGCCATCAGCATCAATCGTGGGAACATATCTGCCTAGCATTTGGGACTTATTAATTTAATTTAATCATCACTGCTGGCCTCATTGTCCTTTTAATTATCACTATTAGGCCTGGTTTCTATTTGTTTTCGTCTCCTTTGTTAAATGCCACTATTGCTACTCATCAATCATGCCTGGATTAACAATCCCTGGCTTCCACTTGTCCATCTACCATTTAGTGACAATTAACTACTGGTTTCTCTTGTTATCTCATAACTGTTGTTTTCACATGTACATATATAGCTGTCTGTTTCGTAATTGTTTCATTCACCTGATGAAGGAGTAAGAATATACTTTGAAACGTTGTGCCCATCACAATAAAGAAGTTGACATCCACAAAATTCTGGCCTTTACGGGCTGTATGATCACTGCTTCTTCTGTTGGACCATGGCTTCAGTCATCATTTCCTCCTGTGTCATCCTTCATGTTGCTGCAAATGATTCCAACTAGATCTTTGTTCATTCAACCTCCTATCCCGATTCCTCCAATGTCTTCTATGGGATCTACAGCCACATTGTCCTAGCCTCCTGAAACCTTGCCCTGAGGATCATCGGTTCCTCCACATTTAGTGATTCCTCCATCTTACCAGCGCCTTGAGCATGCACTAGTTGCATCGATGACTTCTCTACCTGGATCATCTGTAGCCTAAAAGATTGTCTGACAGCCTGACCCTTTGGCCCTTTACAAACCATCGCACATTTCTGTCATCGAGTTTGTTTGAACATGTAGACCATTACTTTACCTCCTAGAGGCCGCCTCCGTGGTGTAGTGGTTAGAGTGTCCACCTGGATAGCGGAAGGTCGTGGGTTCGATTCCCCAACCGCGCGTCATACCAAAAGACGTTAAAATATGGTACTTGTTAGTCCCTGCCTTTTGCTCGGCATTAAAGGGTACAACAAGGACTGGTTGGCTCGGAGTCATTATAATGTGTCTGAGTGGGGTATTCATGCTTCACTGCGGCATGGTATCTCAGTGGGCTAGCACTATAAAACCAGCTTCAGTCTGGGCTAGTACAAGCAGCCGCACATACACATACACTCGCATGCACGTCGTCATATGAGCGAAATATTCTCAATATACCCAATTTCACCTCACCTCACCTCACTTTACCTCCTAGACCAGCCCTTGGACGCTGAATTCAGTGGATTCAATTGAGTCAAAGATAGGATTTCTTCCCCGAGATTCTGTTTTGGGGACGCACATGTTCATGGATTGGCTACACTTGTTGCGTCTCCTCTCGTTGATATGAGGTGCTATCTCTATTGCCCAGGATCAATTCCAAGTCCTACTGCCTCAGTTCACTCATTTTGTTTATGTTATTGGTCTGCCATTCATAGAAGGGGCCCATTAAGACATTCCAGCTGGAATGAACATTATAAGGGTGAACTGTTTCTTCAATCGTGGTTAGGTCAATGCCTCTTTAGTGAGGTGCAGGTCTCCCAGACAGGGATTCTCATAAGTCAGTAGCGATCAGTTGCGCAAGATCTTTCAACTTTTTACGACCTCAAGTAGTAGAACCTACCTCCACTTTCATGATAATCAACATGATACAAAAACTAATATGACCAAGCAGGTACTTATGGCTATTCAACCCAAAACCCCTACAACAACAGGGGTTTGATGAAGCACCCAAGCAGTCCACACCAGCTTCGTCAATTGTTGACAAATCTTCTAAACTCTCTTCAATGGCACCACATTCTAATGCATCACGTTTATCTCTAGTTGAAGACAGTCTTTCAATCTATTAAGACCAGAAATGTCTGGCATGGATTGCAGATGGATCCCCCATTTTCTCATCTTTTATAGGCTCATCTCCTGCTGATACTTATTGTATCAAAGGCAAAGCTACTGGACAGAAGGAAGTATTCCATATTGCCAACAGATTGTTGTTTAGACGGAACTCTCTTGCTCTCCCATCTCACACATCTATTGATGAACTGACTGATCAGTTTTCGGTCTTCTTCACTGACAAAGATCAACATCATATGCCAATCCTTCAAATATCAAGTTCCCTTCCTTTCTCCTCGTCCAAATTTGTATCCAAATGTCCAGCAAAATCATGTTTGCTTGACCCTTTAACCACTGGGGTCTTGAAAGAAACCATTCAATCTCTTCTTCCTATCTGGACGTACATGTATATCACCAACAGTTCACTAAGCCAAGGTGTAATGCCTGATCAACTGAAGATCCAGTGATTGTCATTCCCCTCATAAAGAAGAGGAATCTCGACCATGAACTGTTAAAAAACACTACAGACCAATATCCAATTTGACATTAATCTCTAAACTGATTGAGCACATTGTTGCTTTTGAATTCACATGAGCAGAAACAGTTTCTTTGAAGAATGCCAATCTGCCTACCGATCCTTCCACAGTACGGAAACTGTGTTGCTGAAGGTTCAGAATGACATCCTAAGAGGCATTGAAACTGATGGAGCAGCCATTCTTGTATTGCTGGACCTCTCAGCTGCTTTTGACACCGTCGACCATTCTGAGCTACTCTTTACCTTTGAAAACAGGTTCAATGTCAAAGATTTTGCCTTGAGGTGGTGTGTCTCCTACTGGACAGACCGGAAGCAGACAGTTGTCATCCAGGGTGGAAAGTCAGAAATGACATACTTGATGTTTGGAGTGCCTCAGAGCTCAGTCCTACGCCCCCTACTTGTTATATGCTGCACATCTCCCTTCGATGATATTGTTAGATCCCACAACGTGAGTATGAACCTCTATGCTGATGACACGCAAGTCCACTTACCCTTCAAGCCATTGGACGCATCTTCAACTAAGTTCTCCTTTTCAAGAGTGGAAGAATGTGTTGTTAATTAAATGATGATAAAACTGAGCCTCCTCAACTTCAGAAAAAGCTTCTGCTTCCACAGTTTTGCATCGGTGAATCTGCAATAACAACACGCCCATAGGTTCGCAATCTTGGTGTAATCTTTGACTCTGCCGCCAATCATATTTCCATCTGTGCAACAATGGTATGATCCGTCGATACCTGGATGTGAAATCTGCACAAGCTCTAGTACAAGCATATGTAACATCCCGCTTGGACTAAATAGTAACTCTGCTGTCTGGTGTGCCAAAACAAGTCCTCTACAAGCTACAGAAGGTACTAAGTTCAGCCACACAATTGATCTGTCAAATGAAAAGGACTGAACACATCAACCTCACTATGAAAACTCTACACTGGCTTCCAATTTGCTACAAAATCCTGCTCCTTGTTTTCAAGTGTTTAAACGGTCTGGCTCCAAAATACATCTCAGATCTCCTGACACCTTATCACCTAACTAGATCACTCTGCTCGAGAGACCAGTATCTCCTTGAAATACCACAAACTAGAACTAAGTCATATGGGAACAGGTCATTCTCCAGAACAGGACCCTTCCTCTGGAACAATCTACCTGCCATCCTTCATTCCAAAATCTACCCGTGAAGGTCCGGGTTAGAATTGATCTTCAGCAACCCATGCTTGTCGTAAGAGGCAACTAACGGGATCGGATGGTCACCCTCGCTGACTGGGTTGACACATGTCATCGTATCCCAATTGTGTAGATCGATGTTCATGCTGTTGATCCCTGGGTTGTCTGGTCCAGACTCGATTATTTACAGACCGCTGGTATATAGCTGGAATATTGCTGAATGCGGGGTAAAACTAAACTCACTCACTCATTCCGAAATCGAACTGTCAATTTTCAAAATTGGTCTCAAGAAGCACTTATTCACATCGGCACATGGATAAAGTGGAATCAGATAGCTCTTTTGAGCAATTACATTGATAAAAAGCGTTTTATATGTGTGTGTGTGACTGTGTGTGCATGTTTTGCATTTAGGTACTTGCATGGATTTGAGGCACACCTATTCATACATGAAACTGGCATGGTGATCATGGTGGGTTTTTTTATTTTCATTTGCAGGCCTACCATACAAACTGTAAACAAATCATCAAAACTGAACTCCTATACGCCAAAACAGAACACAAATCACCAAAATAGGAGAATGAACTTCCAAAACTGCAACAATATCCTCTAAAACCGAAACCGACCGTTCTCACCTGCTCTTGTAGCTGATACGCGAGTTTTGTTGCCATTTCAAACGATTAGTCTTCCATTACAGATGTATTGTTTCGGTTTTAGAGGATATTCTTGAAGTTTTGGAAGTTTATTTTCCTATTTTGATGATTTGTTCATCGTTTGTATGGTTGGCCTGATTTGGGCAGCTCTTTAGTTACTTTGTTTTCAGGGAACTGACTTGCGTGTAAGAGTCTCAAACTCAATGAGCAAGAGTGAGGCAAAATTGGAGTGTGACTGGAAACTGCGGAGGTTCTTGATGTTACACAGCCAGGCCCTACAAAAGGTGGGTAATGTATCACATTCTTTAGGCTATTCATTTTTGCAGAGGAAAATAACTCACTTTGGAATGAATCAGATGTTTTCCGCTTTGGACATTGTTGAGGAATTTTATCCCCTCCTTTATGCCCCTGTTATTCAACCAGCATATAATGGTCACGTGAGAAGACAAATAAACAACATTAGGTCTTTTTCCAACTCATGAAGCATTGTCTGGGAATAAAGCATGTTCTACCTCATGTTCATGATAAATACACATATCTACAAGCAGTTGGATATATACATAGTGCATCTAGCAGCTAAGGCTTACAGGTGTCTTGCTGAGCAGTGAAAGGTAACCTCCCAAGAAGACTAAGGGATTTGTCAAAACTACTCACCTGACCTCTGATAACAACATAGATTATTCCAGTTCCAACAAATGCTTTAGAAGGAAAGACAACCTCCACAGGTGGAGGTGCCCACAATTACTCAACCCTCTAGTTCCTCTTATAACAACATAGATTATTCCAGTTCCCACAAATGCTGTAGAGGGAAAGACAACCTCCATAGGTGGAGGTGCCCACAATTACTCACAACCCTCTAGTTCCTCTTATAACAACATAGATTATTCCAGTTCCCACAAATGCTCTAGAGGGAAAGACAACCTCCACAGGTGGAGGTGCCCACAATTACTCACAACCCTCTAGTTCCTCTTATAACAACATAGATTATTCCAGTTCCCACAAATGCTCTAGAGGGAAAGACAACCTCCACAGGTAGAGGTGCCCACAATTACTCACAACCCTCTAGTTCCTCTTATAACAACATAGATTATTCCAGTTCCCACAAATGCTGAGGGAAAGACAACCTCCACAGGTAGAGGTGCCCACAATTACTCACAACCCTCTAGTTCCTCTTATAACAACATAGATTATTCCAGTTCCCACAAATGCTCTAGAGGGAAAGACAACCTCCACAGGTAGAGGTGCCCACAATTACTCACAACCCTCTAGTTCCTCTTATAACAACATAGATTATTCCAGTTCCCACAAATGCTCTAGAGGGAAAGACAACCTCCACAGGTAGAGGTGCCCACAATTACTCACAACCCTCTAGTTGCTGTAGTGGAACAGAATCCTATCAACCTGGCCGTATCTGGTGACCTCCCTTCAACAAATTCTCAGGCCATAACCTCAAGTGTGAAAAACTCAGTAGCCAACTGTCAGGCAGTGAAGAGATAAGGAGATGCTACTGACATGCTGCTGACACTACCCAAGAGTAAATAACTCCAAAAGATCTTCCCCTAGTTCTTACTTACAAATTGCTCATCTGTAACCTTGCCATGGACCCCATGCTTGTAACAACTCTGGTAAGGTGATGCGGCCATGGCATCTAAGTAACTCATTTTGGGCATTTATGAAGGTATCGTGTAGAAGTAAACATCTTTACAAACACACAGAGTAATCAACTAAACTGACACCTCAGTTTGAATACATTTGATAGAAGGGTTTTTACTGAACTTGCTGAAGTAGATAAGTACTACGAGGCACAACTCCCTGGAGGAAGCCATGCTAATGGTAATAGCTGTCAATTGCATTGATGTTTGGGAAATTTCTCTCTGATTATTTTACTTCCTTAATTTGTTTTTTTTTATATCTGGTTGTGTGCTGATTGTGTGCATAATATTCTTGTAAGTTTCTTTCATACAAATTATCATACTTTATTTTTCAGATCAGTAATATTCAAGGCAACTCCCCAACTCCAAATATGCTGACCTCGAGATTGGCTTCCCATGTTCTTGCTGAAATGAAAGAAATAGGCTGGGACAAGTACCTTTATATTTTTACACATTCTTTAAGTTCACATGACCAATTGCATTTCAAGTAAATTAGAATTGACTGGAATGCCACAAAAGTTTGATCCTTAACTTACATACAATCAACTGCAGAGTTAAACATCATCAATATTTTACTTCACTGTGGTGTAGTGGGTCTGAGCACCATCTCACATATCACAATATACAAGCGATATACAGGCCAAAGAGACAATTTCTGAGAATACTTTTGATATACCTGACATACACAATGGTACAAAATATTTCACTGGTTGCTATTTTTAGACGGAAGTGCTACTCTTCCACAAAATGCATCAAAAACCATTTTGTCTTTTTGTAAAATTGCTGTCATGCAGGCATTTAAAAAACCTTTGAAGATTTAAATTGTACTTATTTTGTTCTGGTATTTTATGTATGTGATGTCAACATTCCCGAGAAATACAATCTTATATAGTCTTACGTTTTTACTTTTAAACAGTTGACATTTTCCAAGCACTCTCCTAATGGTCCTGTGTGACAAAGAATTTTATTATGGGCTGTGAAATTCATGTGTCAACATCGGTAGAGTGAAGCATACCATATACATGTAGATCTAAAGTTGTCTTTCCCTCTAAGACATAAAAAAGTTTAAGTAATAGAGTGGGTAAGTGTTGGTTTTTTTTCCATGTTTTTATTCCCAAAGTTCTGTTTACAGAGGGGCGGTTGGGTAGCCTAGTGGTTAAAGCGTTGGCTCGTCACGCCGAAGACCCGGGTTCGATTCCCCACATGGGCACAATGTGTTATGCCCATTTCTGGTGTTCCCCGCCGTGATATTGCTGGAATATTGCTAAAAGCGGAGTAAAACCAAACTCAGTCAGTTGTTTACAGACTTTACCTCAGTTGTACAGTATGGGTAGCTTCATAGTACATAAGTACAGTGTAGGTAGCTTCAAAGTACATAAGTACAGTATAGGTAGCTTCATAGTACATAAGTACAGTGTAGGTAGCTTCATAGTACATAAGTACAGTGTAGGTAGCTTCAGTAGTACATAAGTACAGTGTAGGTAGCTTCATAGTACATAAGAACAGTATAGGTAGCTTTATAATGCGTAAGTACAGTGTAGGTAGCTTCATAGTACATAAGTACAGTGTAGGTAGCTTCATAGTACATAAGAACAGTATAGGTAGCTTTATAATGCGTAAGTACAGTATAGGTAGCTTTATAATGCATAAGTACAGTAAAGGTAGCTTTATAATGCATAAGTACAGTATAGGTAGCTTTATAATGCATAAGTACAGTATAGGTAGCTTCATAATGCATAAGTACAGTATAGGTAGCTTCAAAGTACATAAGTACAGTATAGGTAGCTTTATAGTACATAAGTACAGTATAGGTAGCTTCAAAGTACATAAGTACAGTATAGGTAGCTTTATAGTACATAAGTACAGTGTAGGTAGCTTCATAGTACATAAGAACAGTATAGGTAGCTTCATAGTACATAAGTACAGTATAGGTAGCTTCATAGTACATAAGAACAGTATAGGTAGCTTCAAAGTACATAAGTACAGTATAGGTAGCTTTATAGTACATAAGTACAGTGTAGGTAGCTTCATAGGTACATAAGAACAGTATAGGGTAGCTTCATGGTACATAAGTTACAGTATATAGTAGCTTCATAGTACATAAGAACAGTATAGGTAGCTTCAAAGTACATAAATTACAGTATGGGTGGCTTTATAATTACATAAATTACAGTGTGGGTAGCTTCATGGTACATAAGAACAGTATAGGTGGGTTCATAGTACATAAGTACAGTATAGGTAGCTTCATAGTACATAAGAACAGTATAGGTAGCTTCATAGTACATAAGTACAGTATAGGTAGCTTCAAAGTACATAAATTACAGTATAGGTAGCTTTATAATTACATAAGTACAGTATAGGTAGCTTCAAAGTACATAAGTACAGTATAGGTAGCTTTATAGTACATAAGTACAGTGTAGGTAGCTTCATAGTACATAAGAACAGTATAGGTAGCTTCATAGTACATAAGTACAGTATAGGTAGCTTCATAGTACATAAGTACAGTGTAGGTAGCTTCATAGTACATAAGTACAATATAGGTAGCTTCATAGTACATAAGTACAGTGTAGGTAGCTTCAAAGTACATAAGTACAGTGTAGGTAGCTTCAAAGTACATAAGTACAGTATAGGTAGCTTCAAAGTACATAAGTACAGTGTAGGTAGCTTCAAAGTACATAAGTACAGTGTAGGTAGCTTCATAGTACATAAGTACAGTGTAGGTAGCTTCAAAGTACATAAGTACAGTGTAGGTAGCTTCAAAGTACATAAGAACAGTATAGGTAGCTTTATAATGCGTAAGTACAGTATAGGTAGCTTTATAATGCATAAGTACAGTAAAGGTAGCTTTATAATGCATAAGTACAGTATAGGTAGCTTTATAATGCGTAAGTACAGTGTAGGTAGCTTCATAGTACATAAGTACAGTGTAGGTAGCTTCATAGTACATAAGTACAGTGTAGGTAGCTTCAAAGTACTTAAGTACAGTGAAGGTAGCTTCAAAGTACATAAGTACAGTATAGGTAGCTTCATAGTACATAAGAACAGTATAGGTAGCTTTATAATGCGTAAGTACAGTATAGGTAGCTTTATAATGCATAAGAACAGTAAAGGTGGCTTTATAATGCATAAATTACAGTATGGGTAGCTTTATAATGCGTAAGTACAGTATAGGTAGCTTCATAATGCATAAGTACAGTATAGGTAGCTTCAAAGTACATAAAATTACAGTATAGGTAGCTTTATAGTACATAAGTACAGTATGGGTAGCTTCAAAGTACATAAATTACAGTATAGGTAGCTTTATGGTACATAAGTTACAGTGTAGGTAGCTTCATGGTACATAAATTACAGTATAGGTAGCTTCAAAGTACATAAATTGCAGTGTAGGTGGCTTCAAAGTACATAAATTACAGTGTAGGTGGCTTCATGGTACATAAGTTACAGTGTAGGTAGCTTCATGGTACATAAGTACAGTATAGGTGGCTTCAAAGTACATAAGTTACAGTATGGGTAGCTTTATAATGCATAAGTACAGTAAAGGTGGCTTTATAATGCATAAATTACAGTATAGGTGGCTTTATAATGCATAAAGTACAGTGTGGGTAGCTTCATGGTACATAAGTACAGTGTGGGTAGCTTCATGGTACATAAATTACAGTGTGGGTAGCTTCAAAGTACATAAAAGTACAGTATGGGTATCTTCATGGTACATAAGAACAGTATAGGTGGCTTTATATAATCATGAAGTGGGTACAGTATAGGTAGCTTTATAATGCATAAGAACAGTATAAGGGTGGCTTTATAATGCATAAGTTACAGTATGGGTGGCTTTATAATGCATAAATTACAGTATAGGTAGCTTCATAATGCATAAGTACATTATAGGTGGCTTCATAGTACATAAATTACAGTATAGGTGGCTTCATGGTACATAAATTACAGTATAGGTGGCTTCATGGTACATAAGTACAGTATGGGTGGCTTCATGGTACATAAGTACAGTATGGGTGGCTTCATGGTACATAAGTAACAGTATGGGTGGCTTCATGGTACATAAGTACAGTATGGGTAGCTTCATGGTACATAAAGTACAGTATGGGTGGCTTCATGGTACATAAGAACAGTATGGGTGGCTTCATGGTACATAAGTACAGTATAGGTAGGTATAAATGTACATGTATAAGGTGTATGGGTGGCTTCATGGTACATAAATTTACAGTATGGGTGGCTTCATGGTACATAAATTACAGTATAGGTGGCTTCATGGTACATAAATTGCAGTATGGGTGGCTTCATGGTACATAAATTACAGTGTGGGTGGCTTCATGGTACATAAATTACAGTATGGGTGGCTTCAAAGTACATAAGTACAGTATGGGTGGCTTCAAAGTACATAAGTTACAGTATGGGTGGCTTCAATAGTTACAGTATGGGTGGCTTCATGGTACATAAGTTACAGTGTGGGTGGCTTCATGGTGCATAAATTACAGTGTAGGTGGCTTCAAAGTACATAAAGTGCAGTGGAGTGGCTTCAAAGTACATAAGTAACAGTATGGGTGGCTTTATACATGCATATAGGTATAAGGTGTATGTGGCTTCATAATGCATAAGTGCAGTATGGGTGGCTTTATAATGCATAAGTACAGTATGGGTGGCTTTATAATGCATAAGTTACAGTATGGGTATCTTCATAATGCATAAAGTTACAGTGTGGGTGGCTTCAAAGTACATAAAGTACAGTGTGGGTGGCTTCATGGTGCATAAGTACAGTATAGGTGGCTTCATGGTACATAAATTACAGTATAGGTGGCTTCATAGTACATAGAATTACAGTGTGGGTGGCTTCATGGTACATAAGTGCACAGTGTGGGTGGCTTCATGGTACATAAATTACAGTGTAGGTGGCTTCAAAGTACATAAAGTACAGTATAGGTAGCTTCAAAGTACATAAGTACAGTATGGGTTAGCTTCATGGTACATAAAATTACAGTGTAGTTAGCTTCATGGTACATAAGTACAGTGTATGGGTGGCTTCAAAGTACATAAGTACAGTGTGGGTGGCTTCATGGTACATAAAGTACAGTGTGGGTGGCTTCATGGTACATAAAGTACAGTGTGGGTGGCTTCATGGTACATAAATTACAGTAAAGGTGGCTTCATGGTACATAAGTACAGTGTAGGTAGGCTTCATGGTACATAAGAGAACAGTATGGGTAGCTTCAAAGTACATAAATGCAGTATAGGTAGCTTCATGGTACATAAATTACAGTGTGGGTAGCTTCATGGTACATAAGTACAGTATAGGTGGCTTCATAGTACATAAATTACAGTATGGGTAGCTTCATAGTACATAAGAACAGTATAGGTAGCTTCATACAGTATGGTACATAGTACATAAATTACAGTATAGGTAGCTTCATAGTACATAAAGTA